GAAATGGAAAAATCAAATACCATATGTTCTCACTTATAAGTGGGAGCTAAGCTATGGGTACACAAAGGCGTACAGAGTAATAAAATGGACACTGGAGACTCAGAAGGCGGGAAGTTAGGAGGAGGGTAAGGATTAAAAACTACCTATCAGGTATAATATACACTACTCAGGTGACAGATGCACTAAAATCGCCGACTTCACCACTATACAACTCATCCATGTAACCAAAAACCATTTGTACCCCTAAAAGCTACTGAAATGTTATGTCTATATAAAATAGATAGCCTATCTATCTATCTATCTATATATATATATCTATCACAAGTAGATCTATCTACATATATATACACATATATATACACACACACACACATGATTTTCAAGGAATGCTAAGAAAGAGGCCACCTATTCCGTGTGGCCCAAATGCCTGCTCTAAATATATTCCTTTTAAATTGGATTACATAATGTAGCAGTTATTGCTAAGTATAAGAAGTCAGGATCCCTGGCTTCAGGGAATTTGGCACCTAGTTCACTATTACTTGAATAGGTAATGAAATAGAAGAAAATAATTGTATCAGATTTGTGAGTGTTAAGGTATCCACAGATAGTGATGTGGAGAAATTAGAAAGAAAACAGATGGGTTACAACTGAAGAAAAGAACCAAACAATAGTACAGATCCTGAATTAGGGGCAGATCCCAAACAGGCAGTCCTGAGTGAGGATAGGAAGGGTGGGCCCCCAGGTGGTGGAAATCAAAGCTGTTCAGCAGCAACAGGAGACTCCGGTGTCCAAGTGGATGAAGTGCAGGGAGATCTGCAAGTGCTAAAGGGAAGTGGAAGCACATGCTGCCTTCCTTACACAATGACACACAGGCCAGCCTCCTCTGGCTCAACTTCTCCCTGGCCCAGCAGATGCCGCCTATATAATACAGCTTTATTATACTGTTATAAGATGAGAGAGCTAACAATGTGGATACTGAGTGATTTCAAAGGAAAGAAGGGGGCAACGTCAGAAATGAATCTTTAAAATATAAAAGCACAAACTAAGTTTGAATATCATTTCAGAATAGACTATCCTTCATTAAATGATCCTACTTACATTAAGTCATCTGCCATTTAAACCTTCTAATGGTTCCCGCTGTTAAGGAATGAGTCGAAAAGCTCTTTGGTGTGGCATACGGGTCTCCCCACCACACTCCACCCAACCCTCTCTCTCTTCCTTGAAAATATAAAAGAATACAAGCGGTCTAACAAATGCTACTCACTCATTGACTTACTCGCTGTGGTGTGAAGGATGCAAAAGTAGGAAAGACCCAGCTAGAGGGGTTAGAGGCTAGCTGTCTAGAATTATTACACATTGGTGTGAAAGTCTTGCTCCCTTAACCCAGAAATCATCACTCAGGCTGCTTTGACTTCACCAGACACACCCCTCCAAGCAGAGCCATGCTGCCATAATTTTGCCTCTCAATCACTGGCTGTCGTTAGCGTTCTATTTCTAAGTCTCTCCTGATTAAATACAGTACTTACATAGTCTTCCTTAAAATTATGATTCCTGTTTTTTGTTTGTTTGTTTTTCATGTGACAAAGTCTCGCTCTGTTTCCCAGGCTGGAGTGCAGTGGAGCAATCTCAGCACACTGCAATCTCCACCTCCCGGGTTAAAGTGATTCTCCTGGCTCAGCCTCCGAGTAGCTGGAACCATAGGCCTCAGAACTCCAATTTGGAAAATGTCAAGAATAATACCTATTTCACAGCATTTGTGAGGATTAAGTGACAAGGGCTACGTGGTGCTTTCTATACGTAACACTGATGCTACCTGGAGAAAACGGCAAGGTCATCAGCATAGAAGTAGCAGTTGTTGTACTTGTAGTTGCAGTAATAGTAGTAATAGCACGGAAGCAGAAATAGCAATAGCTCACGTTATAGATTAAGGTATTTGCCCTGGGTTACAGAGGTACTGAGGTGGTATTTGAACTCTTTCTGATGCCAAAGTCAATTATCCTGCAACACGTTTACGGGGGTGATCATTACATGCCAGGCACCGAGAGTTTTATACATATTTCAATCAGTTGTCACAACAATTTCATGGGGTAGCTACTATTACTATCCTCATTAACCTATCCAAAGTAGTAAGTGGCAGCACTAGCATCTGTCCTTCACTACGATGCTGTACATACACATTATAAACCTGAAAACTACACAAGCTGTTTACCATGACCAGCTAGTCCAATTTGTTAATATTCACTCCAATTCACCTGGAAAGGAGACTAGACAAGTATGGAAATGTAGGCTCTCATTTTTGCTGAAACATGTCATGTGAATTGGTAAGAGTCTATATCCAAAATGTCCCCACCAAGTAATCTGCACAAACAGACTACCAGCCTCTGGGTGAAGATGTCAACTAATTTTGACAACAATGAAAAGAACTAGCACAAGAAAAAAGCTTAAGAATTTACACAGCACTTTCACTCTTGTACATAAAAATGCATGGTTATTCTTCTCACGGTGAGGACAGGGACTGTGTCTCTGTAACGTTCACATGCACTCACTTGCCCTCTCACGTCCCACCATGGGATAACACAGCAAGAAAGCCCTCACCAAATGCTAGTGCCATGTTCTTGGACTTCCCAGCCTCAGACTGTTAGAAATACATTTCTTTTCTTTATAAATTGGCCACTCTCCAGTACTCTGTTATGGCAGCAGAAAACAGATTAAGACAGTGGATGCACCATTTACATTCCCAACAGTGGGAAATAAACAGTGCACAAGGGTTTCAATTTCTCCGTATCCTTGTCCAAACTTCTTCTTTTCAGTTTGTTGATAGTAGCCATCCTAATGGGTATCAAGTGGTATCTCACTGTAGTTTATTGTTAATCAGTACAGAGTTTCTGACATACAAAATGAAAACGTTCTAGAGGTTGGCTGCACAACAATGTGAACATACTTAACACCATTGCACTGTACATTAAAAAATGGTTACAATGGTAGTCTGGCATGGTGACCCACACCTGTACCCCCAGCTACTGGGGAGGCTGAGGTGGGAGGACTGTTTGAGGCCAAGAGTTTGAAGCTGTAGTGCACCATGATCACACTTGTGAGCAGCCACTGCAGTCTAGCCTGGGCAACACACAGCAAGACCCTGTCTTATACCTTTTCCAAAAGAAAAAAAAAAAAAAGAAATGGTTACAATAGTTAACTTTACATTATGTGTGATTTACCACAATTTTTTGACAAAGGCTATTGTCAAAATCTAGTCAAAAATTCCATAGGGTAAACTAGGGCTGTGACAAAAAAGAGAATAAATACATAAGACTTTGGGATGATATAACTGATAAGGTTTACTGACCAGTATGAACTGAAAAGGTAAAGTGGAGAAGGTGAGTCTAACCTTGAGGTTTCCAACTTACTAGATAATATTACATTGATCAGTATACTTGCTGAACACTTTACTGAGTAAGAATATTCATTCATTCACTCATGCTTTCACTGAAACACTTTTTTTTCTTTTTGAGCACCCGCTATGTGCCAACCACTGACTGGAAATGTGGAATGAAGAATAAGGAGGGATGAATCCTCACCCTCAGGGCGCCAACAATCTAATGGAAATGTGCTACAGTAACAAGCAGGTATGTGACATGACACGATGAATGAATGATGCGATGAAATGACAACTCATCTCCTCCAGAAGAAAAATAAAGCAAGGGCAAGGGGAGGTGGCAACTGAGCAGAACCTTGAATGAAGTAAGGATGCACCTGATACAACTTTATCAATAAAAATAGAACATTTTTAGTCTACCATTCCCATGTAGTTATGTAATAAATCATTTAAAAATAGATAATTTAGATAGACTATGGAAAATATCAGCTTGAATATTAAAAATACAATTAAACTGTGCATTCTTCTTGTATTCAGGTGTTCCTTACTGCAAAAAAACTGACTAATTTTTAGCACTGTATATCGTATTATTTCTTTTAGGTCAAAAAACTACAAATACTTCTCTATCTGTAATGGGGGTATACATACAGGGAAAGGAGCACTGGAATTGGACTTATAAACCTGGTATTTCATATGACTTTAAAAGCATAAGCTTTTCCTTTTTGTTAAAGATATTAAAGAAGAGAAATGACTTAATTAATAAAAGACTACAAAAAGTACACAAAGCTTAACTACTGAAACCTAAATAAGTAAAAAGTCCAAAACCACTAAAACTCGTGACTACAATCAAAAGATTAGCAACTTTAAGAAATTTTCATCATTAGATCTGTAGTTTCTGAATATATTTTGTTATTTTCCTAAGGCAACATTTCTAATAAAGTTAGGAAAAATATATGCTATTGAAATGAAAAGTGTACTGCAAATTATTTATTCAGTCCCCTTAATTTACAGGTCAAGAAACTGAATCCTTTGTACCTTACCATAGAGGTTTAGGGGAAAAAAATACACACACACACACGAAACTGAATCCCAACAAGGTCACATGAAGAACTCTAATCATAGCAAGGCCCAGGGCCAGTGTCTTAGAACTCCTAGGTCACTCACTGCTTTTCCTACTACATTAACTGTAACATTGTGGACAGGTGTCAATTTTATTTTAGTCCGAATTATCCATCAGAAACCTACAAACCTAGCAGAGTGTATCACAAATAATAACACCCATGTCCTAAACAAATGAGTACACCTCAAATATTCAACTGTAATACACAGCTACATAAATTACTATTCTAAAATCCAGGCACATGCATAAGATTTTGTTCTTAACGTTTCTCTTAATATGCATTTACTGAATAATGGCACCAACCTGGATCCTGCTACCCTCCATAAATCACTGCCTATTGTGGCTAAGCTGTAATGTTAACCAACCATTTTAAAACCATTACCAACACAGAAACATGCATTTAGAGATTCTGTGCCAACTCAGAAACCACACAGCTTTTCAGTCATGTGCACAGAATACCCTATATGGAATGCTAAATACTGAAAACCATGCTGGCTAGGGGGTTACCTTTCTTGATTGTTCAGTTTGGGAAACATGGCTTGTACCAATTCCGGGCTTTTCAGAAAGAGGTCTGTAATAATCAAGAACCTAGGGAAAAAAGAGGAAGAAAGTTTAGTTACTCGAAACAAAGTAAAAGAGACATGACATGCCCTTATCTACTTTATAAGCACAGCTTACACACAAAAGCATTTCTTTTCAGTGAATTTTTGATTTGCTGTAATCTTAAATGTTTTAAAAGGTTCACATACTATTAATCTATTAGCAGCTAAAAGGAAAAAAAAAATCCTAAAAATATTTTTCTCCAATTTTACTTCCAAAAGCTTTATTGAAATAATTTAAATTGATTCAACAGGAAGACACGGGCTACTATAGCTTTTATCTAAGTTGAGAAAGAAAAATTCTTCATTTAGTAACAAGATAAGGTATAAACAAAAAACATACTGAAATGTTTTAGTCAGAAGTTAACTGCTATAATGAACCAGAGAAAGACTTGTCACACTTCCATTACTGGCTTGATTATTCACTCTTTAAGAATTCTCAAGTTACCAAGAAAACATCCTCATTGTCAAGCAATGCACTCATCTAAACTTAGAGATCAACTTAGGGAAACCCCAAGGCAAAGATTATAGGCATAGTTCTTCAAAGCACCCCTGTGACAACTGAAAAGATTCAACAGTATTATTAATTAATTCTGAATTATATTTACCAGAAGGCATCTGAGGAAAAAACTTAAGAACTAAGGAATATACTGTTTATAACCAGGTTATAGTAATAAAAATTGACTGTAAGCATTAAATATACTGACACATAGTTTAATCACTTAACAAATACAATATAATAAAACTATATTCAGTCTGATAACCAAACGAAGCATATTAACTACAATACACTGTCATTTCACATAAAAGCAAAATTCAAATACATATTCTATTTCCTCTACAGCATTTAAAACAGCTGATCAACACTCTGATGTAAAATATTCCTAACAATAATGGATAATATTTGGAATTCTCAAACAGTATTCCTATCAATCTGGGCAGGTCAATAGAAATCCATGCATTACAAGCTGGATACACAGACTAAACTGAAATCTTAAAGCTCATTCATAATTCAGGTACTTAGAATTCAAAGCATTTCCCCATAGGAATATCAAAACACAATATTCCAAGTCACAAGCCATAGTTCCAAATATATTCTCCAAACAATAAAGACCCATATTTAGACAGATAATTTACAGAAGAACATGTTAAGTGCTGACAGACACACATTAAGAATTATATAATAGAAACAAATGTATCTAACCAACAGGCTGGGGGCAAGAGGCGGTGATGGACAGGGGGCAAGAAGATCAAAGAGGCTAGAGGAGGTATTTTGGCAATTCCTAGAAGAAGGAAAAGAAGACAGCATTTAAATTAGAGGTGGAAGAAAGGACTTAGAAAAACAGCAAGAAGGAAAGAACAGCAGTGTGTTGGGGGAGCTATAAGCAATAAAATACTATTACGGCTTCAAAAGGAAATCAGGACCCAAAAGCGTGGGTCTTCAGAGTGTCTCAGGTGAAGAAAGTTGCCTCAACTAAGGTTTGAGTTTACTGAAGATTGATGTGATAACTACACATTCTTTCATAATGTTGGTAATTACTGCTCTCTTTCTTTTTTTTTTTTTTTTGAGACAGAGTCTTGCTCTGTCGCCCAGGCTGGAGTGCAGTGGCGAGATCTCGGCTCACTGCAAGCTCCGCCCCCTGGGTTCACGCCATTCTCCTGCCTCAGCCTCCTGAGTAGCTGGGACTATAGGCGCCCGCCACCACGCCCGGCTAATTTTTTGTATTTTTAGTAGAGACGGGGTTTCACTGTGTTCGCCAGGATGGTCTCGATCTCCTGACCTTGTGATCTGCCCACTTCGGCCTCCCAAAGTGCTGGGATTACAGGCGTGAGCCACCGGGCCCGGCCTCTTTCTTTATTCTTGATCAATTTTGTTGGTCAAAGATCAACTTTTGCCTCTGTGAATTTTTTCTACTGTTTTTGTCTTATGTTTCATTGATTTCTGCTTTCATCTTTTATTTCCTTCTTTCTGACTTATTCAGGACTTACTATGCTCTTCTTTTTCTATCCTCTAAAAGTAGAACTGTGGGTCACTGATTTCAAACCTTTCTTTATTAACAGAAACATTCGAGGCTGGTGGCTCACACCTTGTAATCCTAGTACTTGGGAGAATGAGGTGGGTGGATTACTTGAGGCCAAGAGTTTGAGACCAGCCTGGCCAACATAGCATAGTGAAACCCCATCTCTACCAAAAACACACAAAAAATAGGTTGGACGTGGTAGTGCATGCCTGTAATCCCAGCTACTCAGGAGGCTGAGGTATGAGAATCTCTTGAACGCAGGAGGCAGAGGTTGCAGTGAGCCAAGATCGTGCCACTGCACTCCATGCACTCCAGCATGGGCGACAGAGCAAGACTCTGTCTCAAAAAAAAAAAAAAATGGAAGCATTCAAAGCAATAAAGTCTCCTCTAAGCGCTGCTTTCATTTTTGTTGTCTTTTTAATACACGGGGTCTCGCTCTGTCACCCTAGCTGGAGTGCAGTTGTGCGACCATAGCTCACTGCACCCTCAAACTTCTACGTTCAAATAATTCTCCCACCTCAGTCTCCCAAGTAGATAGGACCACACACGTGTGCCACCATACCCAGCTTTTTTTATTTTTATTTTTTTGGTAGAGACAATGCCTTACTATGTTGCCCTAACTGGTCATGAACTCCTGGACTCAAGCTATCCTCCCTTCTCAGACTCCCAAAGTGCTGGGATTACAGGCATTAGCCACCACACTTGGCTGCTTTTGCTTTATCCCACAAACTTGATACTACAGTTCAAAATATTTCTAATTTGCCTGTGATTTCTTCTTTGACAAATCAATCAGATGTGTTAATTTCCAAAAGTTTGGAATTTTTCTAGAAATCATCTTATGTGCAAGAGAATGTACTCTATGATTTCAATCCCTTACACATTTACTGAGACTGTTCTACAGCCCAACCTACAGTCTAACTTGGTGAACATGACACATGCGGGTGAAAAGAAAGTGGAGTTTGGAAGTGCTGAGGGAAGGTCTATAAATATCACTCAGGTGAAGGTGGCTACCTACGACAGTACTACCGAGATCATCTGTATCAGGGGTGTCCAATCCTTTGGCTTCCCTGGACCACGCTGGAAGAAGAAGAACGGTCTTGGGGCACAGATAAAATACGCTAACACTAACAATAGCTGATGAGCTTAACAACAACAACAAAATAACAAAAACAACTCATGTTATAAGAAAGTTCACGAATGTGTGTTGGGCCGCATTCAAAGCCATCCTGGGCTGCATGCGGCCCACAGCTTGGACAAGCTTGATCCATATCATCATGTTTATATACTGTATAAAACATCAGTCTATATTGATATTTGTCTATGAGTTCTGCCCATGGCTGAAAAGCAGGTGTTAAAATCTCCAACTATCGCTTCTGCTTCTGGGCATACTGGAATAACAATTTACCCTCTACCTTAAACAACATAAAATCAGACGATATATATAAACAGTTCTTAAACAGTGGGAAACAGACTGGGTCTGCTTCACTTTGGAAATTTTCTTCTTGAAAAACCAAAAAACTCCTAATAAATGCTCAATAAATGTGATTTGATCAATATGTTTATAAAATCCTTAAGGACTTAAAATAGTAGAACTGAGACATCGTCAAGGAAGGACTAAGTTCTGCATGCTGGAATGTGTGTTTAGGAAGCAAAAGTTGAAGTAAAAAAGTTGTCCATGGATGGAGTAGTAAGGGTACAGGGATTAGGGCAAGGATGGAGGAAAAGGGGAGACAGGTCTCAGCCATGACAGTGCTCTGTTGCTGGGACCACCAGCATCATCTGAAACAAAAATGAGAGTGAATCCACATTGCAACATTTAAACCAACATAAATTCCAAGTAAATCAAACACTTAAATAAATAAATTGAAATTATATACTAGAGGAAAGCCTTGGTAGAGGAAAGGCCTTTACAGCTATTATCAAAACTCTGGAACACATTTTCTTAAAAGACTGATAAATTCACCTACTAAAAAAATCAAAAACTTTTACATAAAAAAGTACCACATGGCTGGACGCAGTGGCTCACGCCTGTATTCCCAGTACTTTGGGAGGCCAAGGTAGAAGGATTGCTTAAGTTAGGTCAGGACTTCAAGACCAGCCTGAGCAACATAGTGAGACCCCATCTCTACAAAATAAAAAATAAATCAGCCAGGTGTGGTGGTATGCACCTGTGATCCCAGCTTCTCAGTGGGCTGAGGTGGGAAGATCACTTGAGTCTGGGAGATTGAGGCTTCAGTGAGCCATGATTGCACCATTGCACTCCAGCCTGAGTGACAGAGACTCTGTCTCAAAAAACTAAAACATAAAGTAGCACAAACAAAGTCAAAATACAAAAACAGAAAAATATAAGTATTTTATTTTATATGAAGGGTGGTATCCCTCATCTAGAAAATACTCCTATACACTGATAAAGATCAACATCCCAAGAGAAAAATAGGTAAAGAAAATTAGAATACACATAAAGGAAAAAAAAAGGTTCTCCAACTCGTAAGAAAACTACAAAATAAAACTGTGCAAGAAGGTCAGTTGACACTTTGGCAGAACTGGCAAATCCAACCCTTGCTAACACTATTAGCAATGATGTGGGACAGGGGAGTTAACACTGGCACAACAGCTAGGAAGGATAACCTGGTTTGTTAAAATTGTAACAGTACATTCCTTTTGACCCAATAATTGCACTTATGAATTTATTCTACAATCATACTTGTCCACATGCAATATGACATGTGCAACCAAGGCTGTTCATGGCAGTACTTACTAGTCACGAAAAAACGGAAACAATCGGAATGCCCGTCGGGAGGAGACTGATGAAATAAATCCTGGTACATTCATACAATGAAAGATCTTAAATTGAGGAAGGTCTTTATACAGGAATATGGAAAAATCTCAGAAATGCACTATTTAGTGAAAAAAACAAAAAGCCCAACAGTGTGGGGAGAACTAGGGGATGTGGTTGGAGGAACTAGGT